ATGATAAGCATCCAGATCAAGATGGTACAGGACTGTTCAAAATCTCACCACAATTCTCTGAACAGCACTCAATTTTAAACTTATAAAGTGCTCATTTCTGGAATTTTCCATTTAGTATTTTCTGACTGTGGCTAATGGCAAGTAACTGTAACTATGGAAAGGAAAATGACTAAAGACCCTATGGAAATGGGCAGAACTACTGTGATTACTTTTCCATTGTCAAAGTTTGTAACATTTACATTCTGTTCTATAAGTATGGTTATAAACCCCACGCTTTATTTATAGGTTGATGCTAAAAGCTGACAAGCATTGAACAATGTTTATTTTATTGTGACTTTGCAAATGCAATTCACTGTAGACAGAGATATATTAAGATTTGCATGAATCCTAGGCATTTTGGCCTTCCTGTACCTTTCCTACATTAGAAAGGATCCCAAACTGTATTTTATGATTGCATTTATATAAAGAAAGCTATATCAATATTATATACATAAGACTTTGGGCACCTAAAAGTTTATTTTCCACCTATATTTTTAAATAAAACATTTTCATATTCACAAATGTCATATAATGGAATAATATGTGTTCTTTCATGTGTAATTTTTAAAATATATTGGCATAAAATAGATTTATTAAGATACAAAGGACCTACAATAGGCTACATATGTTTAAAGTGAACAAGTTGACAGGTTTTGACATATATTCATATGCATCAAACCATCACCACAATCAATATATTGAATCCATCCTATGTCTTTAAAATCTTTTCTTATGTCCCTTTGTAATCCATTCCCTCACATTTTAGTTAATCACTAATCTGAATTTGTAACCATAGATTAGAATTCTCTATGGCTGGAATCATACAGGATGTGTACTTTTGTATCTGGCTTCTTTTACAATCATAATATTTATTAGCTTCACTCACATTGCTGCATTTATTAGTATTCAATTCTCTCTCTCTGTCTGGTAAGTAATATTCCACAATATGGATAGGCAAAAATTTATTTATCCATTCAATTTCACTTTGGGTTATTGGGTTATTTCCAATTTCTGGTTACTTTAAGTAAATATTCTGATTATAAACTTTGAATGTAGAAATGGGGTTATGTGTGTACTGGGGAAAGGGATCTCAAGTGGAGGGAAATGAAAATAATGAGAGTGAAAACCAAAAGTCAATATTCTATGTCCTTTCTCATATGTGAAATATGTGTGTATCTGTATATCTATATCTGTATCTATGTCTATGACATGAATGAGTATGAGTCAGGGTAACTATTTGGGAGGAAGCGGACCAGAGGTGGAGGACAAATTAAGGTGATATAAAGGGCAAAAACGAGGAAAGTGCAATTATATGCATGCATGAAAATATCACCAAGAAACCTATTATTTTGTATGCTTGTTGAGAAATTAAAAGGCTGCTTAGAACTTTGATGTGCAAATTTTTGTATGGATTCATTTTTCTATAAGAATTGGCAGGTTGGGTCACGCATTAGGTATAAGTTTATTTTTCTAAAAATTGATTTTATGTGTGTGTGTGTGTGTGTGTGTGTGTGTGTGTGTGTGTGTGTGTCACACAGGCCAGAATAGGGCATCAGATTCCCTGAACCCAGGCAATTCTGAGCTGACTGACAAGGGTGCTAGGAAGAGAACTCTGGCTTTAACCACTGAGCCATCTCTCCAGCCCCAATGTTTACTTTTACGATGTTGCTAAAGTGCTTTCCAAAGAGGATGGATCCTTTTAAAATCTTCCAGCAATGAATCAGACTTACAGTCGCTTCCATACTCTTGCCAAAAGTTGGAGTTCTTATTTGCTTCAATTACTAATGACTGTATAGAGGCACATTGTTGCAGTGTTAATTTTCATGTCACAGATGATGAATTTCATGTGATTAGGGACCATTTTACATCTTTTAATTTTTTTTTTGGTAAAGTGGCTCTTCAAAATGTTTTAGCTTTTAAGTAATTGGTTTGTTTCAATATGTCTTATCATTGATGCTCTCTATATATTCTGTATATAAATCCAATATGTGATTTGCAAATATTTTCTCCAATTACTTGATTATCTTTTCATTTTCTTAATGGTGTATCTCAAAAGTTTTATATTTTATGAAGCCCTCTGTGCTGTTTTTTTTTTCCCTTAACTTTGGTACTGCCTAAAGAAGAGCCTTGCATTTCCCCTCCTTTTTTTTTTTTTTTTTTTTTTTTTTTTTTTTGGTTTTTCGAGAGAGGGTTTCTCTGTAGTTTTGCAGTCTGTCCTGGAACTAGTTCTTGTAGATCAGGCTGGCCTCGGACTCACAGAGATCTACCTGTCTCTGCCTCCTGAGCGCTCGGATTAAAGACATGCGCCAACACTGCCTGGCCTCCCTCTCCTTTCTTATTCCAATCCCCCATATTAAGCAGAATCCTATGAAGGCTCTCAAGAGTTCTCCATGGAGTGCCTGCCCTTGATAAACACTCTTCTCTCTCTCTCTCTCTCTCTCTCTCTCTCTCTCTCTCTCTCTCTCCCTTCCTCCCTCCTTCCCTCCCTCCCTCCCTCTTTCTTTCTCTCTCTCTCTCTCTCTCTCTTTCTTTCTTTCTTTCTTTTTTGTGTTTGTAATCTTATTTTTCTTTCATTTCTCATCCAGTATATCCTGATTATAGTTTCCCCCTCCACCCCTCTCATTTCTTTCTCCTTTTCCCTCCCCTCCAGATCTACTCCCCTTTTGTCTCTCGTTAGAAAACAACAGGCAACTAAGAGATAACAAGCAAATGTAACAAGATAAAATATAAGCTGAAGTAAAAGCTTCCATATCGAAGTTGGACAGGTACAAACCTTTTTTCATAAGTGTGAATATGATGGGATGCTCCCCCCCAAATAGGTTATGTGACAGAGGTGAAAGGATTTTTCAGATATTAGTAGGTTAGTTAGGCCCTAAGTAAGTTTAAGTCAAACAGAAGAGGTGTTATTCTGAGCCCAACTTTGTCAGGGGAAGGTCCTTAAAGGAAGTCTTAAGTGACAAAGGAACAGCCTTGCTGAACTTGGACCCTCACCTCTGGAGAGGAAGACCTTTGTTTCCTCTTGGTGATGAGATCCAATGAAAGCACTCACACACATTAGATGAATACTTTAGCCTCTAACATTGAGCTCAGCCACTAAGGTACAGCTAGGAGTTGCTAAGGGCCTTATTGTTACAACTTTAAGGAATTGAATTCTGCTTGCCATATGAATGAATTTCGAAAAGATCCCTAAGGTGCAAATGAAAATACATCTTGGGAGCATCGTGATTTTCAGGCTCAAGAGATTCCCTCATGAGTAGGGAGCCCTGATATGCTCTACTCAGACTCCTGGTCGGCAGACACTGTGAAAGGGAATTATATTAAACTTACTTGTCTCTTGTGGTCATTTCTTAGGCTGAAATAGAAAGCAATACACTTTTGATGTTTCTTCCTAATTCATCAACTATAGTTTTTCTTTCTACATTATTTAACAAAACATAACTCATATTTCAGGTAAGTAATATTTTCATGTGGTTCAAAGATCTAAGGACTATAAGAAGGCTTACATTGCAAACTCCTGCAAAAGGCCTGATTGTATACTTTCTTCTTATTTGTTTTTATAGAATTCTATTCTTGTTTTACAGATGTAATATATTTCTAAATGTCCCTGTGGATGCTCTTTGGAATTATTTTTAAAGCTAGTTGTAACTTTCTGGACCAAATCTACTATGCCCCGTTTTGTGATTTCTCTCATGTTCCAGCCTTTTCTTGTGTTTGATGTTCTTTTGTTTCTTGTCCATCTTTTTAAATAAGGTTGCTGAGAATGGACTGAGATGGATGTAATTTTATTAATCTTTTAGATGTGGGGTCCAATTACTAAACTGCCAAAAGCCTGAGGCATTAACATTCAGCCAGCTGCTTTAATTCTTTCTAAATACTTGGTTCAATTTCTGTAATGCAGAAATCCTTTGGTCTCTGACAAATATTTGGCTTCCATCTCATCTGCATGTAGGGGCTACAGGGTTGCCTCTCTTATATATAAATCTTATAGTTACTTCTGGTTCCAGCCCACTTCTCTCCCGTATCGTCTGTATATGTGGTCGGGTTAAGGTTTGAAGGTAAACGTGTTGCCTCTTTATTTATTTACTTATTAATCTACTTTTACATTTATTTATGAGTGAGTGTGTATATGTGGAGGAGGAAGCATATGCCACAGCACACTTGTAGAGGACAGAAGACAATTCTCAGGAGTCAGTGTTCCCTCTTTTACTATGTGGATTTTGAGAATCAAACTGAAGTCCTTTGGCAGCAAGAGCATTTATCCACTGAGCCGTCTCATTGGCTCAGTGCTGCCTCTCGTAGCTGCAGCCCTTCCATATAGAGTTCACTTAGGTCTGTTCCTGTCCTCTTCTTTATCAGTTAGCAAAATACTCCACACTCTTTCTGACTTTTAGCAGTGCTTAAATTTCTTAGGCTCTGATGTTCTCGCTCCTTTTCCCTTTGTTGTGGTGGATTTATAAGTGTGCAATTGTTTTATTTTTTAATTTTACATATCAACCTCAGTTTCCCTTCCTCCTTTCCTCCCATTCCCTCCCTCCACCTCCCATCTACCTGCCACCATCCACTCCCTTTTCTCTTTTGTAGCCCACTGAGCCCAACTTGTACTTTTCCATATACTCATTCATGGATGCATAAGGTTACCCACTAGAGTGTGGTGGACCTACTAGTGCCTACATGCCTCAAGAAAACAGCCTCTCCCTCCACCAGTGGCCATCAATAGCTTCCCAGCTAGGGGTGAGGGCAATCTTTTTATGATGTGCCTGAAAAGCATGCCAGGCAGGTGACCCCTATAGCTGATCTATCAAGTCAAGCTTGGTTTGAGTTTTAATTCTTTTTGCTTCTGGAATCATAGGAAGCTATGAAAATGGGTGTTAGGAGAAGTTGCTGCCCCAGGGGACAAGTGTTGAAACTGGAGGCCCTTAAGCAGAACCACAGTAACAAAAGGATCTCCGCTTCCCTTGCAGGTAACTGGGGAGCCAACAGTGTTTATAGATGGACGGTGGCCATCATCTGCCTCATCTGTGGCTGCTGCTGCAGGATCAAGACAATGACGACAACAACCGAGGGTTCAGGGCTGCTAATGACCCAAGGAAGCTATAGAGACGGTAGAGACTGGGAAATCGGGCTAGAAGTTAAATAGGCAGAGGTCAGCTTCCTTTCAGGGAACTGAAAAATCTTCTTGCTAGCTCATTCTCATCACTGTTCATCAGGATACCTCACGTCCTCTCACGGAACTGTGAGCGGGGCATTTGATAGTGCTCTCATCTTCCTTGACAGAGGTCTGAAAAGGTCAGCCACTCATATTCTCTGTCTTCCCCTTCAGGAGAGCCGGCTACTGGAGGATGAGACTGATTACAAATGCAGTAGAAGCAGGGAGCTTTCTAGCTTTCATAAAATCTTTCATAGTTATGGCAAATCATAATCCTTCCCAATGAGATCTTTCTAGTTAGCCTAGTGTACTGCCTGAAACCACACAATTACTTGGGGATTAGTGTCATTTTACTTGGGGTTTTGTATCTATACTGATCTCAAATTTCTGGATTCAAGGGGTTTTCCAATCCCACCTTCCTCCTATAACTATAGACATTACCACCATGCCCAGTGGGTTTTGTGTCTTCAGAAATAAAATGGTGTTTAATATCGGGCACAAGTGTACTACAAGACAGGAGAGATTAGGTTTAATTTTCATATTCAATCAATAAAGCTATCTAATCATCTTCCCCAAAGATATACAAGGAACAGAAAGCAGAAGAACCTATACCTGACCTATCTGAGGGCAGAGTGGGGGAGGAGCGAGGGGGAGAGAGACAGAGAGATCAAGAGAAATCTCAATCTGTACATGAAGCTAGCATGATTTTTAAGGTCCTTCCATAAACAAGTCCACTACGTTAGATTTTTGAGAGACTAGAGGCAAAAATAATTGCTCTCTTTCTTCTTGTTTATTTGGTCACTTGAAGGTCAAAGGGAGCTCGAACAGAGCTAAGTAGTGGCAGAGATTACCCAGAAGGAAACTTGTATCTGTATCAAGCCTTGGTAGGCCTACTTCCTTCCCAATACCTTTCCAGCAGTGCACAATAGAGCTAAAAGGGGTCCCAAACTTGACTTTAGGGCTATGGGTCCCTATTCGCTGTATTTCCCAGCACGATTATCTTCTCTGCCCCAGTCTCTATTCATATGAGTACACTTATCCCTGTCCTACTGAGCTCTGCGGGGCTGTTGAGAGCATTCATGGGACAGGCAGCCATGGAAATGATCCAAATCATCGAGAGTCCATTAAGTAGAAGATGTTTCTGTGTATTAGATTTAATAAGGGTATGATAGCTGGCCTCAATTTGAAGCAACAAAATAAGAGGCAGAAAGCAATTTTTATTTTCTGAAATAGGGCTTCACGGCGCAGTCCAGGCTAGCTTAAAACTCTAGCGCCGCCTGCTTCTGGGTCTCAAGTGCTGAGTTTACAGGCATACCCCTCCAGACCTGATTATATTTTTGTTTGAAATAAACATTTTCCTCATTATGAAAACATTACTTAATTATTGAAAATATACAGAAGTAACAGGAAAAACCCAAACAAGCCCGCCTTTAATATTATATTTAACATTATTAAGTTACATGTTGTACTTAATCCCATCTAAACACAGGTAGCTTGAGTGATTGGGATTTTGGTCTATTTCCTTCCAGTCTTTTTTCCCCCAACAAGGGCAAGGACTGTGCCTGTTTGCCTTTATTTGCAGCCTCTATCACTCTGGCAAACTCAGTAGATTCTCCATAAACACTTTCAGTACTGGCACACTTATTGGAACGTGCAACTTTGCATCCCACTTTGTCTGCTTCAGCCTGAGAATATGTTTTAATATTAGCATTCTTTCAAAACATCTTTTTTAAATGTTTCCCCTGAATTCCATCATATCACTGCATCACTGCATCCGCACTCTATTATAAGACATTTAGGTTGCTTCCAGCCTTCCACTGCTACAATCAATCAAAGCTGAGATAAATATCCCCATAGTGTGCGTCATGTCCATACATGTTGCTTTCCTCTGAATAAATTCCTAGCGGTGGGTTTCTCGGCTCAGCACAGTTGAAAGGCTTCTAATACATACACCATTTCGTCTTCCATGAAAGTTATACCAGTTTGCTTACCCACCAGTGATATTGGCATTTTCCTTTTAAATGGGCCTGCTTTTGATTTTGGCTTTGTCATATTCTACCTGTATCATTTTTTTCCTTTGCAACTTCTTCCACTGCATTTATGCTCAGAAGTCCTCAGGGACAATCCTTTAGGTTGATAAAAGGTCAATTTGTATGCAGTTCTTGCTTTTGCAATGCAATGTATTCAAGAAAGCTTTATCATAAGATGGTCTACACACTGGGAAACAGACTAAGCTCATGCATACCCATGGCAGAATTCACCTATTCTAATGTGATCGGTTTCATCACCAGAAACAAACAAATGTGTAGATACAGGCTGCAAGGAGGTGAAGTATAGGTGTTCATCAATCAGTTGTGGCAAAGTACAGCACTTCCTTTTAAATGGTTCTGATGTTTTGACTTTTAGCGAATTTTTAGGTCAGGTAAACTTTTCAAATCCCCTTTCTGAGGTTAGAAGAGCCTTAATATATAGGCCTCTTCCGCCATTAGGTGGAAGCGAGGGCTAAGGAAGGCCTAGCATCAGCCAAATGTAGGGGACAGTGTGGCGCCATCAGTGCTTTAGACAGCTCTGCCCTTGACCCTGCCCCCAGGTCCTGGTTGAAAATCAGAAATGATTTGGAAGCTATTTTGGAAGGCTGAGGTTTGGAATGAACAAAATTCAGTAAAGCCTTCAATGGGAAGGTAAGACAATAAACTTGCTCAGTATCACCTGAGAAAGCTACACATGATTGGTTCCTTCTAGAACATAGAGGAGAGGTTCCAAAGATGACGTTCAGACATTAATCATCTCTGTGTCCACACCATCTAGCCAAGTGCCAAACAAGCTCAGAGTGCACCAATACATGTATGTAGAACAATCGAATGAGTGAGTGGACGGTTGGTTTGTTAGTCGGTGCATCTTGGCATTTCTTGGCTAGTCCTTGATATATTCCGTGCCTGACTTTTATCTTTACCTTCCAACCTGCTCTCTCCTGTTTTACCTTCTTCTAAGGAGCTTTGCTTAAGGTCCAAAAATTGGATGTTCTGCAATTATACCCTTGAGTAAAAGGAATACTCTAGGGTCATGTGGATTGAGGTGTTCCTCCACCTATCTGGTGTGTATGGTATTGGAAAGTTATTTATCATTTCTGAACCTCAGCTTCTCTATCTGTAAAATGAAACTAATGAAGTTTACCTCTTGGGCTGTTGTGAGCAGTAAATGAAATTATGTATGCAAATGAGCATTGTAATTGTCATGAAATAAACACCGTGTGGTTGGTAGCTATATTGGTTTCCCTGTGGCTTCTGTAATAAATTGCCACAAGTTTTGTGGCTCAAAACAACAGAAATTTATTCTCTCATACTTACTTCTAGAGGCCAGCAACCCGAAATCAGTTTCAGTGGGCTGAAATCAAAGTGTTGGCTTCACTCCCTCTGCGAACTCCAGGGGAGAATCTATTTCTTGCTTCTTCCAGCTTATAGCGGCTGCCAGAATCCTATGGTTTGTCATTATATCTCCAATCTATGCCTCTGTGGTCATTTTAGTTTTTCTTCTCTATGCACGCCTAATTTCCTTCTGGTTTGTCTCATAAGGATACACGGGTTGTATTTAGGATTTCTTTAAACCCAGGACGCTCTCTAGTATAGGGCCTAGAACTTCCTATGCTGCTTTGATAGCTCTGCATTATAAAAGAGTTCAGAGTACTATCTGTGATTTCCTTTACTCTTGCTTGGCACATGTCCAGTTCAGCAGGAAGCATTCTCTCCTCAGCTAGCCTCCCTATCAGCTAGACCAGTTAGACTCCACCTGTTTTCAGCCTGTGAAATTATTCTAGCAAGACAATCACACCTTCCCATGAGAGCCCAAGAGCTCTCTTACTTACCTTAGGATGTCTGTTGCTGTAAATACCATGAGCATAGACAATTTGGGGAGAAAAGGATTTATTTCCACTTAACAACTGTCAGGTCAACTCCATTGCTTAGGGAAGTCAGGGCAGGGACCTAGATGCAGGAACTGAACTGGTTTGCTGCTCATGGCCTGCTCAGCCCGCTTTCTTTCTTTTCTTTTCTTTTTCTTTCTTTCTTTCTTTTTGATGCTTACATCTTAGGTTCTTTCATCTATTTTTCTTAAACAAAAAACAGGCATAAAAATGCAATTACATTACTACAAAGATGCAGCAAAATAAAAAATAAATCAAGAGGGTTTGATTTTTTTGTTCAGGGGACAGCTGATCAAAGATGACTCTCTAAATCATGCAGTTTATAACTTATTACAGTTCTAAACAAAAGTCACCACAGGGAAGGGAACAAGGCAAGGCCCCAGGGCACAACACTCAGCACTGTCACACAGCCCCTGTCAAAGTGCTTTAACATTGGCTGTGGCACCTCCACAAGCCAGGGGAGCTGAAGCCACCTTCAGGCAGGAAAGGAGAATCAGTAGCAGTCAAGGGGCCTGAGAGCTCAGAGGCTACTTGTTCCACTCGGGGTTTCGGCATGCTGCTCAGAGCATCTCTGTAAGGTAAGTTGGTGTCTGAGATTCTTCACATCACCCCAGGAATCCTAACAGACCAATGGCAGCAGCAGGAACCTTCAGCACTTCACACCAGATCTACACATGAACTGATGCAGAGCCTCCTCTAGGGTCCATGACCTCCCAAAGGTCGTCCAGAAATGCCAGCCTTTCCTTGGGATTACTAGCTCACTTATCCTTTAGTTAACCAGGGCATTTGAAATTTACAACTGAACCTTTTTTCTAAAATAAAATCTTGCTTTTCTAAAAGCAATGCTTAAAAATTAATTTTACATTGATTTTCATCAATGTAATGATGAAAATGTAATACCAGAACTTGGTTTTTCTTTCACTTCTGTCTTTTTTTTTTTTTAAATTTATTTCCACAAAGCAAAAGTATTCAACAAGGAAACCTGGTATTCCTTTCTTTTAGTTCCCAATTGGAGGTATTTATGGCTCTGGGACAAACTGAATAAAGGAAGCAACATTTGCTCCGATAACCATCTATCTAGAAGGTTTGGGAGCCTCAGGAAAAAGCGAAACTGGCACAAAATTGGGTTGCTCTTGTAATGACCATTGGGTTGGGAAGGAAACTGGCAGGTGTGTGCACTGACATACATGCAAATGACAACAGGGAAAACAAATACTTCGCTAAGGTCAGTTTTTTTCACTCAAAATTCTGTCACTTGGACAAATGACCTTATAAATCCTTATGTTAAACCATATGTGAAGAAGCTCCACGAAGAGATTATTTTGCCCCTCAGAATGTTTTATTCCCCAGAATCCTTCACATTAATTGCCTCATACAGTTGCATCACACCATGATTCTCCAAACTCTAATACATATATACACATATATATACATATATACAGCATCCAAAATTTAAACTTCTGCCTTTTTTTCCTCAAATACTTCAATTATTCTTTTATAAACTTGACATTATTTCACCTTAATAAAGCTTATTAATCTAAACAAACTTTATTAAATATATTATATAATATATATTTAATAATATAATACATATAACCGACAATATAATATATACATATATACTTAATAATATATTAATAAACTTTATTAAATATTTATTAATATATATTCTCCAATTAAGAATGGATAGAACCTCCCATAGTGTGACAAACTCTTTATATAAAATATTAGTTCAGTCTCCTTTTAAACAACTCTAATGAATGGAAATAGTTCTTCTATATACATTTTATATATTTTCATTTTTAAATTTGAAGAGAGAAGTTAGGGAGGGAGGGAAGGAGGGAGGGGGAGGGAGGGGAGGAGGGAGGGAAGAAATCTGTGTTCTGAACCAGAGTTACAGAGCATAGCTGCTTCCAGAGAAACATCAGCCTGCTTTTTTATACCATCCAGGTCCACCTGCCCAGGGATGACACTTCCCACAGTGAGCTGGGCCCTCCCACTCCTATCGTTAATCAGGTCAGTACTCCAGACACATGCCTATAGGCCAATCTGATAAAGGCGTTTTCTCAGTTAAGAGTCTCTCCTCCCAGATATATCTAGATTTGTGTCAAGGTGACAAAAATAAACTAACACACTACCCTCCTGCTGCTACAGAGCTGCCTTCTATGGTCTCTTCTGGTTCATTGCTTCCAAGCATAACCCTGTGTGCCTCTTTGCGTCGTATGCTGTATTCTCCCTCCTCCTGGCTATGAATGTCACTAATTAACTGTTGCCTGTTTCATACATGCAATGACACGTGTCATTGTGATTGTAATGATTGGTTGTCAACTTGACACACCTGGAAAGAGGGAACCTTAAGGGAGGAATTACCTCTATCAGATTGGCCTGCGGGTATGCAGGTGGGCAAATTGTCTTAATGACACTGTGGGTGGAACTTCCCAGGAGGCAGACCTGGGCCGTCTAAGAGAGTACTAGCAAGCCAGTGGGGGCAAACCAGTAAGCAGCGCCCTTTCCTGGTTTCTGCTTCAAGCTCTTGCCTTGAGTTTGCCTTGGTTTTCTTTCAATGATGGACTACCTATAAACTCGAATAAACCCTTTCCTCTCCCAAGTTGTTTTTAATCATGGTGTTTATTACAGCAAGAGAACAAACTGGACAGCCATGTGTTTGACAATCCCCAGAAACTCAGGGGAGAATCTCTTCCCTTACTAACAAGATGAATAGGAAGCAAACAAAACACTTCCCATTTGAAACACTTTACAGTCATTAAATACATATCCCACTCCTTTGTTGTTATAGGTAGTATTATCCATAGAGTCCAAGGAATAGGATTGTAGATACATTGGGGGCACTTCCTTACTATATTTAAATAGTAGTTCTTACTAATTTTTAATCCACCTAAAAGTTGCTTTTCTTGTTTATTTACTCAACTGTTTCCTATGACCTTATTTTTTAAACAGCATAATTAAGGACCCCAGCATACTGATTCTCGATTTTCTCTTGTTATGTTTCTTCTATGCCATTTTTTGGAGTGTAGTTCTTGGGAATTGAACCCAGGGCTTTAAGAGTGCTGAGTATATATTCTACCACCAAGCTACAGTCCAAGCCCTTCCCTTCCCTTCTTATTTAGCTTATATTACATGATCTATCATCTCAACATCTTGTCATTATTCAAAACTCCCCTTTTGCTCTGAATTTTTGCTGCATGCATCTAATAAAATTTTAATTATAGGTGAACTCTTTATTCATTTCTTTATTAGCAGGATTTGTTTATACATTGAAGGCTGGTCTCAAACTTGGGGAGCCTTTGACTTCTGCCTCCTGACTGTTTAGGTTACATGTGTGTACTTTTACACCCAGCTTTTAGTCAAAGAAACTGTAGGGTAAGTCAGACTGGAATTACTATGAATTCGTGATAATTGAGCATTTGTTAAGTATAGCGTACCAAAAGCCTCTTCTTTGAACACTAAAATTTTGCAGGAAAATAAAAAATTAACTTTCTAAGTTCATGAGAATAAACAAAGCAGAAAAACTGATCACAGAGGATAAGAAATGTGGATAAAAATTTACAAGATGGAAAAAAAGAGAAAATAGCAGATCTGAAAAGGTAAAAAGTAAAAAAAAAAATAAGTTCATGCAATGAGTAATACCAATGAGAGAAAAACCTAAAAGCCCTGGAAGGTTCAGGAATTGAAGCAAAATTGGAAGGGCAAAAAGAGAAAAATTGAAAAGTTTTTTTTTTTCTATTGAAAGCTTGTATGAGAAAGAACTACACTGTGAATCTCTTTCTCTCATCCTGGCAAGACATAGAAGATTCATTTTATGGAGAAACTGAACCAGGGAGACTTTTGACTGGAAAATACAACACCCAGAGGAAGGCACCATAGAAAACTGTTCAATTAAGGAACCAATTCTTCAGTGTTGAGACCACAGTAACTGTTGTACCCCTCAGTTCCGGAGACGGAGGCAGTTTTATGAATAGTTGTCAGCCAAGGGAGTGGAGGATCGCTCTCTAAAGAAACCGAATAGCCCGGAGAAGAGAGCTACAGATAACGGAGGTTCTTACATTCGTAGTAGTGCAGGACGACAGAGATATTCAGTGCAAGCTAGAATCATAGCAACTGATCTCAGGAATCAATGGGAATCATTCTAAGTATTCTATGATGTTTTCAATCAAGAACTCTCACTATCAGGTATAAAAGTATAGGGACAGAAGACGATGAAATGGTAAGGCAGGCATTTATTTAGTTCATGGTAATTGAAAACATTAGGAGCTCTCAGAATTATGTGCTTTTTCTAATTTAAGTAATTTGAACAGCTCTTTCTCGTAGTATAGTATAATTTACA